GGCCCACTGGGCAGCAACTCTGCTCCGCCAGCTTTAGGCACATCATTCTCCTAGTCCATCTTAGTGGTGACTCCACCCTTAGAAACACCAGAGGCCATGGCTCTACCCTTTGAAACCCCAGAGGTCCTGGTCATACCTTCTGAGACTGAGGCAGCTCAGCTTCTTGTGTTCCTTGTCTCTTCAGCTTCTGCTTCCTGGTTTCTTGGCCTCTTGGCCCTCAGGCCTCACACCCACATCTGCCCTGCTGGGGCAAGTGTTCCAAAGCTCTGTAGCTCCACCGATGATAAGTGCCTGGAGGCACCCCACTCTGCCAAGAAGCTTCCTGCACACAGGCACTCAGCTCTCTCTCCGCGTGGGTCAGCTCCAGCGCCATCTTGCACTGGCATACTGGTTCTGCTGCTGCTGGTTCTCCGCCGCTGCTGCTCCTCTATCCAGTCACAGTTTCAAAACCGCTTCCACATTTTAGGTGTCTGTTAGAGCAGCACCCCACTCTCTTGGAGCCAAATTCTGTCTTAGTCATCTAGTGCTGCTCTAACAGAAATACTATAAGTGGATAGCTTTAACAAAGAGAAATTTATTCTCTCACAGTCCAGTAGGCTACTAGTCCAAATTCAGGGCATCAGCTCCAGGGGAAGGCTTTCTTTCTCTGTCAGCTCTGGAAGAAGGTCCTTGTCATCAGTCTTCCCTTGGTCTAGGAGCATCTCAGTGCAGGAATCTCAGGTCCAAAAGACGTGCTCTGCTCCGGGTACTGCTTTCTTGGTGGTATGAGGCCCGCCGCTCTCTGCTTGCTTCCCTTTCCTTTTGTCTCTTGTAAGATAAAAGGTGATGCGGGCCACTCTCCAGGGAAACTCCCTTTACATTGGATCAGGGATGTGACCTTAGTAAGGGTGTTACCATCCCACCCTAATCCTCTTTAACATAAAATTACAATCACAAAACAGAGGACAACCACACAATACTGGGAATCATGGCCTAACCAAGTTGATACATTTTTGGGGGGCTACAATTCAATCCATGACACAAACACTTCTACACATTCTGTTCCCTCTGTCTGGGACACTCTTCCCTGCTTCTTTGTCTCGTTCATTCCTACTTGTCCTTCCAATGCAGCTTAAGTGTAACCTCTTCTGAAAAACTTTTTGAGTCTTCAGCCAGGTGCCCTTTTTCTGTGTTACCAATATCATAGCCTTGTCACATTGTACTCTGTGTTAGCTATATCACTTTTTACAGACTCCCTAAGACAGTGTCTGTGTCTTATTTAACTTTGTATCCTCAGAGCTGCACTGTACGGTTGTACAGGTTATTCACTGCACTAGGATGCCTGGCTAGGGAAGCAAAGACGTGGTAAAGTCCATTAGCCAATTGTGCACCCTGGTACAGGACTGTATCCAAGCCTTTTTCTAACCTGCACAAAGGTGCCATAGTAGGTGTTCAGTGGTGCATAGTAGGTGTTCATTAAATGTTGAATGAAGACAGATGGATGCCGTGGTATGATGGATTGCTTTCGTGTGGCCTTTTTCACCACAGTCTTGTAACTCCCACCCAAGTGACTGGTTGGGACTGTGCAAATAAGGCAATTGGGCCCACCAAGGGGATTGGTCAGTTTTGCCTTAAAAGAGATCCAATTCCAGAGAGAGAGGATCCCACCACCACCAAGGCAGGAAAGGCAGAGAAGCGGTGGCAAAGAAATGGCAGCAGGAGAGAGCGGCAGGAGACGGTGCACTGGGCTTTCCAGCCCACAGAGTGAGAAAGCTGAGTGCCTTCGGGCTAAGGCTTACGGTAGAAGAGGCTGTCCTGATGGAAGAACTGTATCCAGAGCATTCCGGAACCTGAATTGTAACCTGTTACTTCCCTAATAAACACCATAATCATGAGTATGGTCTGTGAGTTCTGTGTGACCATTGCAATGAATTATCAAACCCAGCAGAGAAGGAGCAAGTGCTGTGGGAGGGACAGATGGTGTCAGAATTGGTAAAGATGGTGGAGAGAGGTGGCATGCCTGACTTCTGCTTCATAGGAATGAGCCTTGGGCTGTTGATCTTGGTCCTTCTTCCCCACCATGAAGTTGGAGGGGGTCAGACGCTACCCTTATGCCATTTTTACAGATGTTCTAGGCAGAGGTACCAGGGGAAGATTTTGGGGGGACAGCTGGAGTAATGGGGTGGCATAGGATGATCAGGATTGGATTAGGATGTTTTCAGCCAGACTGTAGAGAGTTCCTTATGTTGGGCTGGGGGGCTAACTCTTAATTCACTAGGCAGTGAGGAATCTTTGACAGTTTTTGAGAGGACTGTGACTTAGAAGCACAACATATTCAGGCTTAAAAATGGTACTCAGGGAGAGGTTAAGTGACTTATTCAAGGTCACACAGAAAGTTAGCAGCAGAGCCAGGCCTTGAACCCATTTTTCCTGCCCCTCACTCAATGTGCGTTCTTCCACACTGCACTCTGGGAAAACCTCTGAGACCTGTGAGCCACCAAGCCACATCTTCTCAGCCTCAGGGACTCTAGCTCTTCCCTGACACAGGTTCCTGGCAGTAGTGAGGAGATGGATGACAGCCAGGCAGAATGGAGAGGAGAATAGTTAGGAGACTGTTGCAATCAATAGCTCAGCCTCGTTCTTGGTGCACCTCTTGTTCTGCCTTCATAATATTTACCTACTTAGGTAAATCACCCATTAGCTTTCTGTTTTCCACACAATGTAAACACTCTAATTTTTGAAGCTTTTTCCCTTTTTGCAATAATTTTAGTTTCTCTTCTCTAGACCCTGGCTAGTTTCCTCAGATTCTTTCAAAAACACTTTCTGCCTATAGCTGCAGAGGCCCTGCCCATGGCAGGTCTTAGTAAGTGTGTGCAGAGTTGGACTGAATAGAAGGTAGAGACTGATCTAAACCCGGAGGTCTCCCGGAACGTTTGCTTCCTGGGAGACTTCTTTTTGTGCTGTGTCTCACATTCCTGGGATCACCTGAGACCCCAGTTTTGCTCTTTCACAAGGAAAGTTCACTTTATGATCTTCCATGAGCCCCTGAATCTCTTCCTGGCTTAGGAGCCCCTTGCCAGGCTCTCCACATTTGGTTTCTCTGTAGCTTATTTCTGGCTAAATAAATTATTTTATTCTTTTCCATTTTAACTTCAGTCTGAGTCTGAAGAGTCATTTCTCTAATTTTTTTTAGAGAGATTTGACTTCTCAACCTTTACCTCAGGTTATAGGAGCACTATCCTTTGGCAGACATGATAAGTGTCAATAACAGCAGTATCATCAAATATTTATTGAATGTGTACTATGATCCAAACATTGTGTTGGCCACTTTTATAAAAATTAGCTCACTTAATCCTCACAACAGACCAGTGAGGGTAGAGCCATTATTAGTCCCATTTTATAGATAAGGAAACTGAGGCCCAGTAAAATCAAGTAACTTGCCCAAAGTCACCCAAACTGGGATTTGAACACAGCCAGTAATTCCAGAGCTTGTGCTTATATCAGGACACTATGCTGCCTTGGCAAACAAACTTCTAGGTGCTCTCCGAGTCACTGATAACAGGCACTGTGGAATAGTGAACAGGGCACTCCACACTCCTGGCTCCACACTCCTGGTGGCCAGGCATAGAGGTCACCAACGGTCATTCTCTGGCTTGGCCTTCCCTAACCAGCTATGCATCTCCTCCTACAGGATGGACCCAAGATCGTAAGAACTGGAAGAGAAAAAAGCTTGTCCCTGATGTTCAGATGGGCCTGGTGACAGGAAATGCCCGTCCTCAGCAATCATCTCTAACCTTTACCCTGTATCATAAGAGGCTCTTAATTAATCTAATATAATTAGTTCTTTACAAAGTCATCATAATTTCCAGTGTGCAATGACAAACCAATAGATGGATGGTTTCACTCCATGGGTTTCCTGGGTATGAAGTTAAGTGCAAATAATGATCATTAACTAACAATCTTATTTCCTTTAAATATATAAATATATTAGGTGAGCTTCACATTTATCCCCTTTTCTGACTTCATCAGGCCTAAAGGATAAGGCTAGAGGCTCTGTAATAAGTCAGTCCTTCAGTGTTCCAGGAGTCCCTGGGTGGTAATAATGGTTAACGTGCTTGGCTGTTAACCAAAAGGTTGGAGGTTCCAGTCTACCCAGAGGCACCTCAGAAGAAAGGCCTGGTGATCTGCTTCTGAAAAATCAGTCACTGAAAACCCTAAGGAGTGCAGTTCTATTCTAACACACATGAGATCACCATAAGTCAGAACTGACTTGATGGCACCTGGTTTTGGTTAAGTGTTCTAAGATGTGAGTCTGGGCATTTGACCTGATGGGTCAGCATTGGAAGACACTCATTTTTGGCTTCCTGTCCTTGCTTTCAGTTTGGTTTCCTACTTGTCCGTTCCACAGGTCACCTCTTCTGACTCTTTGGTAAAGACTGAGACAGAAAGATAAACCAAAAGCCTCTGATTTCTCACAGTTACCTGTAACTAGCTCTCTCCCAACCCATCAAAGGGATAACATTCTCCTTGGTTTTTCTCTTCCTCCTGTGTCAGCACCCAATTACCTGCCTCTGCTAGCACCTGGCTGCTCACGGCAGGGAGGCTCTGTGGAGCAGGACCATGGCTTCACTTCTCACTGGGCCCACAGTCTGTGCTTTTGATTATTTACCCCAATGCTTCTCTTTACTGGGGCAGAAAATTGAGAGGTGACTGTATAACTGAGGAATATTTCTCTGTTACCCTTTTCTTAGACACAACTTGGCTCAGCTCTCAAGAGAAGAAAAACTTCCCTGTCAGGCATAAGCCAATCTTACGGTCCCCCTTTCCTTCTAGCGTGTGGGTTTCTCATTACATCATTCTGCTTTCCTGTCTCTTCCCTCCTCAGTTCCCCAAATTCCCGGACATGATGCCCAGAAACAAAGCCAGAGGGTAAACACTGTCTCCCATGGTGACAGGGCCAAGAAACGGGAACAGCTGGGGACAGACAGCTGCTGGCTGTCTCCCCAGCACCCAGCACTCACCATTGTTTATCCTTTGATCCTTTTGCAGAAAAGACTGTGTGCTGTTTGCTGCTGGAGGTAAGTAGATTGTCTTTGGGCGTTTTGAATGGCTTTGAGGTGCTGCTGGCAGAGCTATGGCCGCTGAAACTGGTTTTTGTTTTCACCTGTACTAGTGACGTCCTGGAATTGGAGGGTGGAGACGCTGGAGAGGGAGAAGGTCTACACATTGACCCGTGTCTTCTCTCTATAGGGGGAGAAAGAATAGAACTCAACACACCATCCGCAGGAGTGAGCCACTTTCACACTCACACACACAACAGGCAAAAAGAAAATAGCTTTTCCTGCAACGTCAACACCACTGAAGCCTCAGTTCTGACTATGGTTTGTCTGGACATCTGCTCCTATTCCGCCAAGTAGCAATTATTACATTCTGAATTTCTGTATCCAATGGCATGCTGGACTAACACCAAAATTCTCATGGGAGGCATTTACCAAGCTATTCTTCTGCAAACCTGCTTCCACAGAACTAGCAGAGGTACACTAGGTGTTACCAGAATGCAGGGGGATAGTGACATAGCCAAAGTGATCCCCATCCAGCTACCTAGAGGCCACAACGTCCCTCAGGGCAGTGGGTTGGGCAGGATGCCTCAATGGGCAAGTTGGGGACACTGAGCAAGACAGCAGATACTTGAAGAACAGTTTCAGTCTACAACTCACCATAGTGGTTAACTGTTTTAAGTAACAGATTTGATAAAAGGACCCTGTCCCCAGAAAAATACACATAGACAGGTGCCAGCTATACTCTGTGCAGTTTCAGGAAGGAATTCCAGACCCTAAAAAGACAAAGGCTCCCGAAATCGTGTCTAAGTTGTCTCTGGCTCTCATGCCTATGACAGTGCCTCCCATAGAGCTGGGCACTTAATTAATATGGACTGAATAAATAAATCAAATTATAACAGATGTCCTTACGGGGAGAACTAGAGATCACAAATCTGGAAATCTGGATTGAATGTGATAATGAAAAAGGTGAGAAGATGACAGACCACACTCTCCTTCCACCCCAGTGTGGGCTTCTCTCGTTGGTGAGACATTTCTGGCTGCGACTGCAGGTTCCCTGAACTGGGAGAAGGGAGCCAGACTAATCTCTGCTCTCTTAGACAGAGGTTTAGGATTTCTCTGTGTTCCCTTGTACTAATCTGCTGCTAGGCTGTCTCAAAGCAAATTGACTCTAGTCCTCTGATGAAGAGGGAGTTGGAAAGAAAAAAAGTGGATTTTTGAGGATCATCTGATTGTTGGGTCTTTTGTCTGACCTCTTGCTATTGTTGCTTTTGTTATTAGCTGCCGCTGAGTTGATCCCCAACTCATAGCGACCCCACGTGTTACAGAGTAGAATTGCTCATAGGGTTTTCTTGGCTATAATCTTTTATGGAAGCAATTTGCCAGGCCTTTCTTCTGAGGTGCCTCTGGGTGGGTTTGAACTGCCAACCTTTAGGTTAGCAGCCGATTGCAAACCACTTGTGCCACCCTGGCTCCTTGACTGTTCCCATAGTTTGCCTAAACTGAATCATTTTCCTGGGTAACTTTTCTACATTTAATCAGAACAGACCTTGTATACATGCTTACTTCCCAGAAGCCATCCTGTTGAAGGTTTTGAGAATCAAGAGCTAGTTCCAGGGCCCCCATTTTGGTGCAATGGAGTGAGCACTGGATGGCGAGTCAGGAGAGCCAGGCTCTGGCTTCAACCATACCACACACTAGGCTTGTGGCTTTGAGTTCATCACTTAAGCTTTCTTGAATCCCACATCTTTATCTGTAAATGAAGTGGGTCCCTAGATGCCTTCCAAGGCCTCTTTCTACTCCATTACCATAAATACAAGGCGTACTTACACCTGCTCCTGTTCTTCTCATCCTTCATGACTCCTGAATGTTATAGCGATAATTACAGCAGAAATATTGAAATATTTTACTCATGCAAGATCTTCCTTGGAGGGATTCATCCTTTGTAAAATTGTACTGGCCTTTACAACCCGTGTGAGACAGGCAGGAATCAGCCAGGCATCTCCGTCCTCCTCACGGCTGAGTGGCCAAAGGAGACCTGGAGAGGTGAGATGACTCGCCAAGGTCAGGGCCAATGGCTATAAGAGGAATGGGCCTCTGTGCCTGTGCCAGGGCCCAGCTGCCTCTCAGGCAGGCAAGAAATGGGCGGTATCATGAACATGATTTGAAGCCTGGAAATTAGGAACTACAGAATTTAGAGTCACTGAAACTTAGAAGTGGATTTTAAAGGTCAACTAGTCCAATCTCCTTTCTGGTAGATGAGAAAACCATATCAGAGAGGTTGTCAGTTACCAGTCCCAGGGCAAAGCTAGCTGGTGGCAATGCTAGGGCTAGAACCAAGTCCCCTCACTTTAAATCCTTAGTTCTTTCTGCCCTTCAGAAATTTCTTCCTTAGCTATTCCTTTTTTGGCAGAGGTTTCCAATATTGAAATAAGAACTTTGATTCTTACCACAGTTTTATTTTTACCACTACTGTTCTAGATTTTTCTGCAGTCTTTATTCATTCACTTGCTCAAGCTGGCCAGAGGGGATGTGCAGAAATCTCCCTAAGTTTAGGTGAGGAAGTAAGCCTTGAAAATCAAGGTAACTTTTATCAAACTAAAGGTTAAAAATAATACAAGTCAACAATTAAAGATAAATCACAAGGAAGGGTACCATTAAGGACCAAATGAATGGGCCAGACCAGCGATTCTAAAACCACTTTCTCAGAGAATTCTGGTTAATGAACCTGGCCAACACATTCTACTCTTAAACTTAAACAGCATACATTAAATCAATGGATAATCTTTTGTTTTGGTTTTGTATTTTGTTTCCATAAATTCTTCTTAAATGACCAACTGAAAGAACAAGTTGCACATGAAAAGAATATGAATAGAAACCTAAAGGTAGCCCTTCACCCTTTTTGTGTGTGTGATTTTGTATTGACATAGACTACGACAGTGTTTCTTACTTGTGAAACTGTTCCTTGTTGCTCTGATTGAATTAAATCTATCCTTATTTTAAGGTATCCCACAAAGAGATCCGTGATGTCTGTTTCCTGGGCTGTGTGGACAAGCTTGCACACTGCCACTGGTACAGAAGAGAAAGGCTATGTAAGTATTTAAAGCTGGGGAGAAACGGAGGGGTTAGAGTAACTGGGGCTTTCTAAAGGAGTAAGCTTCAGCAAAGCATTTGAAAATGGGTGGAATTGATATCCCAGGTAGGGCAGAGTGAGTAGATTTTATAGAAAGACCCAATTCCCATTTAATCTGTATTTCTCTAGTTCGTGAAGACCTGTCGTAGGTGACTATTACACAGTTAGTTATATCTATGGGGAAGAAGCGGGTAGGCTGGTGATGGGAGAAGGCAAGGTCTTAGTTCCTTATAAAAAGATGTTGCTGCGCAGGTGCAATTGCTCTGGGTAAAGTTTTCCAGATTTGTATCACAGTCATTCTGCTACAAGTCCTTGCCCACTTTGGTTTAATCATTATTTTCTACATTTTGGTCAAGGGCTTGCCTTAGGTTGATCCCTATAATTATTCTAATTCCATCTGCCCTGCCCAGAAAGAGTTTATGGAACACCATATACTTCACCCACCTTTAAAATAGTTTATAAAGCAATTTTAGGGAAAAAGTTTTTCCCTTCAAATTTTCCTCGTCTTTGTTAATTCCTGTACACTGAAGTATTAACAAAGCTGTAATCAATTGAAATTTTGCACTATTCTTTTTCAATCAACATCATTCCATACATACATTTCTAATTCCCACATACCATCATTTTAAAATAAACCAGTTGCCAAGTCAAGGCAACCCCATGTGTGTCAGTCAGAGTACAACTGTGCTCCATAGGGTTTTCAATGGCTGATTTTTTAGAAGTAGATTGCCAGGCCTTTCTTCTGAGATGCCTCTGGTTGAACTGGAGCCTCTCTAACTTTTCAGTTAGCAGCTGAGCACATTAAATGTTTGCACCACCCAGGGCCTCCATCATTTTAAATAGTTAGGAAATTTTCAATCATGTTGACAAGGTATAGATTTACTTAACCAGTATCTTACTGTTGCTTATTAGCTGGCACTTGTTTATTTACAATTTATTTAACAAGAGATTTAGACAAAAAGACAAATAACCTGATCATAAAATGGACAAAGGACTTGAACAGACATTTCACCAGAGAGGATGTTCAAATGACCACCAAACACATGAAAAGATGCTTAGCATCATTAGCCATCAGAGATGGAAATCAAAACCACAATGAGATACTGTTTCACTCCCACTAGGATGGCTAAGATAAAAAATACAGAAAATAACAAATGCTGGCGAGGATGTGGGAAAGTTGGAAAACTTATCCATTGCTGGTGGGAATACAAAATGGCATAGATGTGGAAAGCAGTGTGGCGGTTCCTCCAAAAACTAAAAATAGAACTACCACATGATCTAGCAATTCCACTCCTAGGTATATACCCAAAAGACTTGAAAGCAGAGAGTCAAAAATAGACTTGTACACCAATACTCACTACAGCACTATTCACAATAGCCAAAGGTGGAAACAACCTAAATGCTCATCAACAGATGAATGGATAAACAACATGTGGTACATACATACAATGGAACACTACTCAGCCAGCAGAGAAATGAGATCTTGATGCGTGCAACAATATGGATGGAGCTTGAAGACATTATACTGAGTGAAATAAATCAATCACAAAAGGACAAATATTGTATTACCTCATTTATATAAAAAGACAAGAAAAGGCAAGTGTATAGAGAATAAAGTTTATTAGTGGTTACCAGAGGCGGGAGGGAGGGGCAAAGGGGGAGTTAATGGTGATGGAAATATCTCATTGATTAAGGGTAGGGTTGCATAGCCAATTATCATAATTGCTATCAATAAGTTGTACACCTGTAAAAGTTGAACTGGCAAAAGCTGCGTGATAGATATATTCACAACAACAACAAAAAGAGTAGCTGCTGAGGCTGCTTATGTATAACCAAAAACCTCATGGGATTCGGTTCTTTGGTTTTTAAGGTCATGGTTACATAGGACATCCCAGTTAATTGGCCTAATAACATGTTTAGTGCTTCTGTTCTACCTCCTAGTTCCTAGTGCCTGAGGTCTTAAAAGCTTGCAAGTGTCCATCCAAGGCAGGAGAATTGGTTTTCTATTTGCCTGGAGCAACAGAGATAGAAGGAGAGTCAGGAATAGGAGGAGGGTATGGAATGTGTGGCTAATTGCCTCCATGAACAACAGCCACCTTTGTCATGAGACCAGAAGAACTGGGTGGTGCCTGGTTACCATTACTGAACATTTTAACCCAAGATTCTATAGAAGAATCTGATCAAAGTGGAAAATGCAGAACAGAATTTCAAATTCTTATGGACTCCAGCCTTCTGGAGCTGTGGGGGATGGATGAACCCCTGAAACTACTGCCCTGAGATAATCTTCAAACCTTAAACCAAAAATATCCCCTGAAGTCATCTTAAAACCAAACAATAGTTTAGCTTCACTAGTAAAAAACGTTTGCCTTGAGCATTAAGCTCTTTTAAGAACTACCTATACAGGATCAAACTGATAACAGCAACTCAAAAGATTAGATAGGAACCTTAGGGGCAGTAAATTTACGTTAATGGAGGAGTAACAACTCAGAAAAGGAGGGTGAAAATGTTTGCACAACTTGAAGAATGTAATCGATGTCACTAAATGGTACATGTAGAAACTGCTGGATTGGTATCTGTTTTGCTGTGTATATTCTCAACAAAAACCAAATAAATAAAACAAAAAAAAAAAATTAAAAAAAAGAGAGAGAGAGAGATTTAGTGTTATTTCCCTGAGGTATAGTTCCCAAAGTGAAAGACTGCAATAGTTAACAGCTCTCTTCACACACTTCTTTCCAAACTGTTCAGTAGAAAGAGCAGACCATTCTACTGTGCCGATGTCAAATATAAGGAGCCCTGGTGGCACAGACTATGAAGTGCTTGGCTGCTAACCGAAAGGTTGGCAGTTCAGATCCACTCAGTGGCTCCCTAGGAGAAAGACCTGGCAATCTGCTTCCACAAAGGTTACGGCCAAAAAAACCCTATGAGGCAATTCTATTTTGTCACATGGGGTTGCTATGAGTCAAAATGACTCAACGATACCCAACAACAACAACAATGTCCAATATAAATACTACTTACTTACTGAAGTGAAAACAGAAAAGCACTGTCAGAACACGCTTGCAGAATTAAGCTTCCATACATCAATAACAACCTGAGTGACTGATCTTGGGCTGGTAATCTCTGGTCTCACCCCTTCTGTCTTTTGGCCAATACCAAAATCAAAACCAAACCCACTGCCGTTGAGTTGAATCCAACTCAGAGCAAACCCATAGGTTTTCCAATGCTGTAAATCTTTTACGGAAGTAGACTGCCACATCTTTCTCCCGCAGAGCAGCTGGTGGTTTTGAACCGCTGACCTTTCAGTTAGCAGTTGAGTGCTTTAACCACTGCACCACGAGGGCTCCTCTTTGGCCAATAGTAATAGTAATTCACTAAGATTTTCCTGTGTGCCAGGCATTCTACTAAACATATGATTTACTTTATAGTGTTTAATTCTTATAAGGGTAAGTATTATTATTATCATCTCTACTCTATAGATGAGGAAATGGAGGCTCAGAGATAGAGTTGCCCAAGGTCACAGAGCGTAGAAGCATCGTATCTAGGAATGTCTTCAGAGCCTGTTGTCTTAACTCTAAGCTCTGTTAGATGTTAGCTGCCTGTTGAGTTGGCCCCGACTCATGCTGACCCCAAGCACAATGGAACAAACTGCTACCCAGTCCTGGGCCATCCTCATGGTCGGTTGCAGATTAGAACACATAGAGTTTTCATTGGCTCATTTTCAGAAGTAGATTGCCAGGTTTTTCTTCCTAGTCTGTCGGCTCTGATGAAACTTGTTCAGCATCATAGCAACTCACAAGCCTCCACTGATATATGGGTAGTGGCTTCACATGAGGTGAACTGGATGGGAATCGAACCGAGGTCTCCTGCACGGAAGGAGAGAATTCTACCACTGAACCACCAATGCCTATCTTGAAATGTCACAAGCTACTGCTGCCGATAGGGAGAAGCTGGAGGAGCCAGCTGGACCCCCTCCCTCCTCAATGCCTATAGGCATTCCAGCAGGACCCCTGACTCCCCTCGGGAGAGGAGAGAAACATCAAAAAGCTGCCAGTCAGAAGCCTCATGCCACAGCCCTACACCCAACTCTCCCGAGACCTCAACCCCAAGGAGTTGGGAGTCCCTGTATCAAATGAGTGAAAAACCAAGTCCTTTTATTGTATTCCATTTCCACCACATGAGTTCAGGCTAAGGCCTTGGCAGCTGGCTGTTCTGAGACCACCTGTTTCTCCACAGATGATTTAACCATCCAGGTGCAACTTCAGGCAGCAATCCCAGAGAGCAGCTGAGTGGTGGGTTTGCAGGCACTGGCTCTCAACTTCCTAAAAATCTGTTGGGTGTGGGAGCCTTGGTGTCTGCACAACTCTCTCCTCTTACTCTCTGCAGGTAAAATCCACCAGGCGATTCCACTTCAATGACAACTCAAAACCTGCTCCTCCCCCATGCTTTTTCATGGAGACATTTTCATACGTGAAGCATCAATGTCCTGTATTTAAAATTTCAGCACAGAAACAACAGGAGCAGCCTTGTGAATGGCTGAGCCAGCCGCCGACACCCAATATGGTTCCCTGTACCATTTTTAGAAAGAACTTGTTGGGAATATTCCAACATGGCTTTTTAAGGGACCAACCCCCTCACAACAGACTGCGTACCACAATCACTTTGGCCTGCGATGGTTGTGTAAGCTTCCTTGAGCTCAGGCCAGCACCTGGCTTTCTCATTTGACAGCACTGAGTCTCCTTTGGCCCCCACCTCTGAGGGCCGGTGCTTGGCAAATCATTAGCCAGCCTCTGTTTTATCAATGGGTTCTATCTGCTTTATTAGCTGCAGTCAGGATGCTGTCTACAAAGGACAATCCTGAATTCCAAAGGTCCTTCTTCCAAAAGAAAACTGGACTTGGAGGGAGAGAGGCAGAGCAAGGACCTCAGCATCAGGAACCATGTTAGGAAGCATGCTAGCTGCACCTCACAAGCACCCTGTGAAGCAGGCATCCTCCCAGTTTACAGCTGTGGAAACTGAGGCTGGCTGCACTTTAGAACTTGCCCCACATCACATGAAGTGGAGGAGCTGGGGCTAGAATCTTGGCCTGTGGTCTCATGCGCCACCATTGTACTGGCATTATAGTCCCATGATGGTTATGGGGGGATACTGAATTGGCCTTCCTCGGCAGAGGAGGAAACAAAGGTACAGCAAAGTCAAGTGACTCCAGTAGCAGTGAGTGGCAGGCAGAGCCGTGCCAAATGGCTCCCGTGCAGAAGTGCTTGTGAGCTTTCTGGAGCACCTACTCCCTCTTTAAAAGACACCAGGGCCTGAGTAGCTGGGCAGATGTTCCTTAAAGCCTGGGTGTCTGTCACCTCTTTAAAAGACACCAGGGCCTGAGTAGCTGGGCAGATGTTCCTTAAAGCCTGGGTGTCTGTTACCAATCAACTTGTACTAGGTTTTCTTTGGGGGCAGTGGTGGTTCAGTGGTAGAGTTCTCGCCTTCCACGCAGGAGACTCGGGTTCGATTCCTGGCCAGTTCTTCTCAAGCGCGGACACCACCTGACTGGCAGTGGTGGCTTACGTGTTGCTATGATGCTGACTAGGTTTCAGTAGAGCGTCCAGACTAAGAAAGACTAGGAAGAAAGGCCTGGCAATCTACTTCTGAAAATCAGCCAGTGAAAACCCTATGGATCACAACAGTCCGATCCCCAACCAATCATGGGGAGAGTGCAGGGCCAGGCAGTGTTTCATTCTGTTGTGCACGGGGTTGCCATGAGTCGGGGCTGACTCAACGGCCGCTAACAACAACAAGAACAAACAACAAGGTTTTCTTTACCCATTTTCACCCCTACCCACTCCCAGACAACGTGAGCTGCCTGGAGCACTAAGTTCTTTGCCAAAGGCCAGTTTGGGCCAGTGACCTACACAGCTTGGACCAGCTCAGTGCCCAAATCCCCCTGGAGGACTGGGAGTTGGTTTTTTGGTTGTTCAATTATCCTACACCCATTCATTCACTTAGAAAGAACAGCAACATTTCCTGAGTGCCTACTATGTGTCAGGCATTGTGCAAGCTACTGCTTTTACACTTGCCAGCTCACGCAAACTACCCAACAACCCCACAATGGATAAAGTTAACTCTCTTTTTATAGATGGGGAAATTAAAGCTTAGCAAGATTATGAAACAAGACCAAGGTCACACAGACCTTAGCAGATCTGGGAGGAAAGCCCAGGCTGGCCTGGTCCCAGAGCCAATGCCCTCTCCGCCATGCCAACCTGCTTGGGATGTTGCTTTCCCTTCGCACATTAGCAACGCACCTTCTCTCATGATCTTTGAGAAAGCATTTCCCATTTTCAGGGCTGGTCTTGGCTACAACTCTGAAGTTAGAAACTTAACAGCCTCCTTCTCTTTTCCCCCTTGGTAGCATTCCTCCTCCCCCTGTCTCTTCTGGCCAATAAAACCGGCCCCCCTTTTCTTGTAATTTATACTAAGGTGCAAATTTCTGGCATCAACCATTGTTAGGTAGAATTTAGGGGGTCACAGGGACTTTCCAGGGCCCTGAAATATTTCCTTCAGCCCTCAGGGGTATCCTTACAGGAAAGAAAACCTAGCTAAAAGGAAAACCCTGAGCAAATATAAACGTGTGGGGAACAAGCACAGGGACACACTGCCAGGGGAGCTTTCAAGGGATTACGTTTTTCTGGAGAGCAACCTGGTGATAATAACAGGAACTAAGAAGTACTCACAGCCTTTGATCTGGCAATCTGGTAATTTTACAGGAGCAGATTGCCAGGTCTTTCTCCCGCAGAGCCCCTGGGTGGGTTCTAAACGCCAACCTTTTGGTTAGCAACCAAGTGCTTAACCGTTGCACCACCAGGGCTCCTTGTATGTGAAACAGTAAGCCCAAATCTGCAAAAACCAAACCAAACCCACTGCCACGGAGTCGATTCTGACTCATAGTGACCCTATAGGACACAGTAGAACTGCCCCATAGGGTTTCCAAGGCTGTATACATAAGCAGACTGCCACATCTTCCTCCTGCTTAGGGGCTGGTGGTTCAAACCACCGACCTTTTTGTTAGCAGCCAAGCGCTTTAACCACTGTGCCACCAGGGCTTCTTGTATGTGAAATAGTAAGCCCAAATTTGCAAAACAAAAATAAAAAATATCATAAATAATATGTAGACACTAACCACTACTTTGTAAAAACATTTAGTATCTATATAAGGATGGGGGAAAATGGAAGAGTATAGGATGTATTGTTTAATAGGTTCTGTTTTTGTTAAAGCTGTTTAAATCCTTACAGAAAAAGATTTAAAAAGGCAAAACAAAAACCCACAAGACTCTAACATACCCCTAGCCAGAAAGGACAAAGTACAGAAAACAGATGCACATACTAGGATTAAAAAAAACACCAACCAGTTGCTGTGAAGTTGATTCTGAATCATGGCAACGCTATGTGTTTCAGAGTAGAATTGCGCATGGGATTCTCAATGGTTGTAACCTTTCGGAGGTAAGGTTGCCCTGAGTCAGCATCAAATCAACAGCAATTAACAATAACAACAACAACCTTTTGGAAGTAGATTGCCAGGCCTTTCTTCTCAGGCACCTCTGGGTAGATCAAACAGCCAACCTTTCTGTTAATAGCTGAGCACTCAACCATTTGTGCCACCGAGGGACTCCACTAGGAGAAAAGCATGGGTTAAAGTCAAGCTTCATTCATTCATTCACTCATTTTTTTCAGCATTTCCTTGGCATTTGCCGCGTGGTAGGCACTGGGATATGAGCACTGGGCTATCACAGTGGAGATAAGACAGACATTGTGAATTCTAGAGCTTTATCATTAGAGGGTTACCTCAGGGCAGGGTGGCACTCTCCAGATTCCCAGTGTCTTAGCCATCTAGTGCTGCTACAACAGAAATACCACAAGTGGATGGCTTTAACAAAGAGAAATTTATTTCTTCACAGTAAAGTAGGCTAAAAGTCCAAATTCAGGGTGTCAGCTCCAGGGGAAGGCTTTCTCTCTCTGTCGGCCTTCTCATCAATGCTCCCTGGACTAGGAGCTTCTCCGCACAGGGATCCCGGGTCCAAATAACACGCTCTGCTCCTGGCACTGCTTTCTTGGTGGTATGAGGTCCCCCTGTCTCTCTGCTCAGTTCTCTCTTTTGTATCTCAAGAGATTGCCTCAGGACACAATCCAATCTTGTAGATTGAGCCCTGCCTTACTAACACAACTGCCGCCCATCTTCCCTCATTAACATCATAGAGGCAGGATTTACAACATACAGGAAAATCGCACAATACCAGGAATCATGGCCCAGCCAAATTGATACACACATTTTTTGGGGGACATAATTCAATCCATGACACCCAGCTAGTGGCTACCTTCACTCAAGTGGTGGGAACAGGCAAGCTGCTGCCTGAAAGACCTAAGGCAGGTGAATAACCCTCCCTGGTCTGTTGGATGCCACCTGCAGCCAAAGCCACAGCCCTCCTAATAACATCAGACCTTATATTGCCCCAGCTCTTCCCATGTGTCCAGATCCAACATGGAAGGGGAAGGGTTTGCAAGGAGGTCCACGTGCTCGGCATTAAACCTCTACATCAGAGCAACTCCCCTGCCCCCACCAAACACACACATGCTGGGCAAGTCACACAAGTTTAAACACTGGAGTCACCATGGCTTATGTGACAACGGGCGGCTTCCAGCTTGGATTCTGCCTTAAGGTGGCACAGCTGATATCACCCTTGCCCCAGGGGCACTGTAGGGACAGTCAGAAGCTGGGCAAAGCAGGAGGTATAGGCTGGGGTTTCTTCAGGGAGAAGATATATAAACCAGGATTCCCCATGTTTAAAATACCTGAGCAGCTGGCCTGAATCTTCCCAGTACTGTCCTGAGGCAAAAACAGTGGCCTTTGCCTGGATGCCTTGGGCTAAGCGAGTAGAAGCCCAGTCCCTGTTACAGGCATGTCCTGTCCAAGCCCTAGGAAAGGGGCTGCTGGATCCTGGATGCCTGAGGCAGACAGAGCACCCAGGCCACACTCAAACCTCACAGACCACTGGGGCAGCAGAGGGACACCAGGGCCAGTGTCCCAAATGCTGCTGTCTTAGAATCGAGAAGATCTGGGCTCCAGTCCGAGCTCTGTCATTCATTAGCTCTGTGACTTGACTTAACCCCCTGAGCTCCAGTTTCCTTACCTATAAAATGGGGACAGTCACCCCCACATCTTAGGATTACAATTGAACAGGAGCACTACAGTACACTGAGTCCCCCAATCTTAGCACACGTCACATGTTGTAACTGCTAGGTCACTGGTCTAGGTCTCCTGGACGCGCCTTGATGTAGGTATCTTGTTCACTCTTTTATCCCTGGCATTCAGCACGGGGTCTCACCCTGGTAGGCACTCAATACATTCATTGTCGAATACGTGAATGTTGTGAGGATTGATAACAGAAGGAAAGTGGCTACCATGGTGCCAACTCACAGTAGGTATTGAATATAAGTTCCCTGATACACGAAAATGTAGTTTTAAAAATACAGGTAGTAGCTTTCTTAAGTAGCCAGTTCTTTGCCTTTTAACTGCCCCTGCATTAAAAATCATTCCATTTACAAGAATCCAATGGAAGAGGCCACCAGTGCTTTCTTTTTCTTTGTCCTGACCTCCATGGTCTCCTACAGCAGAAGGTGCAAAGCCTCAACTCACGGCTAAGTGCACAGTGTCACTTAGAGCCACTCACCCCACAGGCTGTCACGGGCCCGCAGCAGCCACTGATAACGGAACCATTTCTGTTCTCCTTGGAGTGGCAGTTGGCAGTGGCAAACAGGAAGTTGTCTTGAAGTAGGGTGTGGTTGTACCCTGCCAATACACGCGTACAGAAACACACGCTTCTTTTCCCCCCTCTCCAATCCTCTTCTGTCGACCTCTCCTTACTTGTTTAGGAGCAAAAGGTCTGAGTTATTTTTATGTGACTGAAGATCAACCATTAACACCATACAGACAAAAAGCTGGGGCAGAAGGGGCCTGAACTATAGCAGGAGGCGTGTCCTACCCTCAGTCAGTCACTTATGACATTTAGTTAGTAGCTGACTGTGTGTGTGGCGTATGGTGTGTGTGTGGTGGGGTAGGCGGTGTGCTCGTTTTCCCTTGTTTTGTCCATGGGCACACAGGAAACAAAACCCTAGCTAGAAACCAGGCCATATACACTGCTAATCATCCTAGTGGCCAAGTCTGCAAGTGGGCTGGCCATCAGCATTTATTTAGTGCCCACTGTATGCACATATTGGACCAAGGACCATCAGTGAACAGAAAAGGAGGAAAATCAGGGGTCCCTGGCTTCAAGGAATTTTTTAAATTTGAATAAAAAAGACCTGAAACATTTTTAACACAAGTTACATAATTGCTGACTAGATAAATAAATGTAGTTTAAGCTGCATGTAAGTGCTGAGACGTGGGGGTGTCCAGGGTTGGTAAGGTAGCTGGCTCCCCGGTGCTAAGTAAGGTGTGCTATAAAATTTTCCACTTCTCTCCTTCCCAGGGCCCGAGGCTTGCGCCTCCAGAAAGGCGGTCCGAAATAGACTGGTCCCCAACCCAGCCTCCTACTCCTGACCTCCTTCTGAGGCAGTACTCTCCCTACTCCACGCCTCAACCCTATTTCGGCTCCAGCTCCAGCCCACAGACAAGAGTCCTGTCCGTGCTAAAACTCAGACTTGTTAAATAAATACAGCTAATGCTAAATGGCTAGCAGTTCAGCCTGCCAGGCTCTCTCCTCCATGACCTGCGTCCAGCCCCACGCTGGCCTCTGTGACAAATGTGCCCTGTGCTCACACTTACACATCGCAGGGAGGCGGCCTTGCCGTTTGGATAAAGAGGCTGAGCCAGTGACACGCTGGGCACCATGACTTGTGGTTGATGTTTCCTGGCTCCTGGCTGAGGGCCCTGGCCAGTCAGAACGCACCACTTCCCCTTTAAGAGAGCACGCCCAGAGGAGATTAGGGAAGGGCAGAAAGAAAAGCCCGGAACTGTCAGGGTTGCATCTTGAATTTGGCAGCTGAACTTGGGTTTTCCTGAACCACACACAAGATGTGTGGTTAGAGGCGCTGGACTCCTCAGACACCCATTAGACTATCCCTGTTTGCGAAGGGCCGGGGCTATCCCTCAGCCCCATGGGATGGTAGCCACACTCAGGCTGCGTAGGCCCAGCTCCCAGCGCTCCAGGCGGCCTGGCCTCTGTCCTGGGTAGGCTGCAGAAGCCGCAGGCCTTTCTGCTCTCCCTTCCTGCAGGGCCTATTCATGTTGATGGGCAGAGTCCACTTAAATGCTTAGCACTTTGCTTTGGAGAGAATAGAGACATAATTATAATGATCAAAAAATACTTATGCTGAACATTTTAACTACTAATGTAGGGAGTTTCATTCATTCTGGATATTTAAGAACTTTATTCCCTGATCTTGGTGAAGGACAATAGATGGGGGAGTGTCTACAAAAACAATGGTACACAAAAGGTCACATATTGTATGATTCCATTTATATGAAATGTCCAGAAGAGGTAAATCCATAAAGACAGAAAGCAGATTAGTGGTTGCCAGGGGTTGCGGGGGTGAAGAGAATGGGGAGCAACTGCTTAATGGCTACAGGGTTTCCTCAGGGGGTGATGAAACTGTTTTGGAACTAGATAGAGGAAATGGTTGCACAACATTGTGAATGTTTTAAATGCCACTGAGTTGTATGCTTTAAAATGGTTAATTTTATGTTGTGAGTTTCTTCTTAATACAAAAAAACGGTAACGTATATTTTTGGCATCGTCTCATCTTTTATTGGGACGTCTCCTGTGTTGCATCCAGCATTTCTTTGCAAAAACCTGGCTATTACCTGAGAAATCTTAAGTTTTCTGGATAAGGTGTATATGCCTTTTAATAAGGACAAAATACCAAACAAACCTCTAAGAGAGAAAAGGAGTCCCTGGGTGGTGCAAATGGTTAATGCACTCAGCTGCTAACCGAAAGGTTGGAGGTCCAAGTCCATCCAGAGCCACCTCTGAAGAAATGCCTGGCAACCAACTTCTGAAAATCAGTGAACTCAAAACCCTATGGAGCACAGTTCTAGTCTGATACACATGGGGTTGCCATGCATCGGAGCTGACTGGATGGCAACTGGTTTTTGGCGTAAGAGAAAAGAGCTTTCCAAGACTCAGAAGTATGACTCTAATGGAAGAATTTCAGACTGTGGGGAGATGGTATCATCTCAAGCCATGCCACATTAGCAGTGCCTACTTGTCTCTTTGTAAGGCGGTCTTAGGTGGGGAACAGCCCTTTAGCATCCTGACAACCATAACCAAAGCTGGAGAGTCTGAAGCCTCCCCAAAAGAGGCTTCAGGAGAACATGACTTTGGACATCTGGGTTCCTGACTTCCTTTTCCCTTCCTGTAGTCAGCTTTTCTTCTCAGAATTAAGAGAACTGATTATCTGACTGGGAGGGAGCTGTACTGGTTGGCAAAGCAGAAATGGTCTCCACAAATTCCATTTCTGTGGAATGGTGTTGGTGAGAAGGAAGGGGAGTGACCTGGCCACCCACCTGACCCAACCCTCCTGGGGGAGTGTCCAGCCCTCCTTTCTTGTTCATTTGTATTGTGGGTAGAGATACCTTCCAGGAGGAAAGGCTGCAAGCCTTGTCCTCCAGACCCTAGGCTAGCAGGTCAACGGCACATTTCCCCACCAAGGGGATTGTGGAATAGAGGCCTACTGGATGTTGCAATACATAAACGAAACACAGACGAAAGGGTAGGCATCGTAGCCCTGGAACCTGAGTCTTTCCAGAGACAAATGTGAACAGCTTTCCTAGTATTTATGTTTGTTCAGAGTTCCAGGATGACCTGGAGGACAGAAATGTGAACAGATTCTCTTGGCCCAGGTCTTCCAGAGCTCTCTGGTCTCTCTGGAGTACTTTGCCTTGCCTCTTTTAGCTCTGTTCTCTCTCCTAACCTCAGGTGCCTGGGCAATAAGCAGGTGGCCTAAATTCTCAGCAAACAGGTGGCTTAAGATAATAAAAAGCAATATTTATACTGCCTTAGTTTCTGAGGAAGGAGCGCTGGTGGTACAGCGGTTAGTGCTCGGCCACTTAAGGAAGGGTTAGTGGTTCAAATACACGAGCCGCTCAGCAGGAGAAAGATGTAGCAGTCTGCTCCTATGAAGGTTACAGCCTTGGAAACCATATGGGGAGGTTCTACTCTGTTCTACAGGGTTGCTATGAGTTGGAATCGACTCCACGATAGTGGGTTTGGTTTGGTAGTTTCTGAGAAGCAGCAAGTTTAAGACTTCAACCCTAAATACAAAAACTGGCAAGCTCAACCCAATTAAAAGTGGACAAAAGATATGAAGAGACCTTTCTCCAAGGAAGATATACAAATGGGCAACAAGCACATGTAAAGATGCTCAACATCATCAGTCATTAAACAAAAAAACAAAACAAAACCCATTTCCGTCGAGTCGATTCCGACTCATAGCGACCCTACAGGAGAGAGCAGAACTGCCCCATAGGGTTTCCAAGGGGCGGCTGGTGGATTCGAACTGCCGACCTTTTGGTTAGCAGCCAAGCTCTTAGCCACTATGCCACCAGGGCTCCATCATTAGTTAGTCATTAGAGAAATGTAAATTAAAACCACAATGAGATACCACTTTACACCTATGAGAATGGCTGTAATTAAAAAAAAAAGGGGGGGGATGGATAACAAGCGTTTCGTTCTGCTGTGCATGTGGTCACCACGAGTCAGGGGCCAACTTGATGGCAGCTAACAACAACAACGAAGGGTAACAAACAGCATCTACCCCTCCCGGGCTGTAGGGAGGAGTTAATGAAATCAGGTATGAAAAAGTGGTTTAAAAGTTGAGTCAGGCTATGCAAACATAAAGGAAGGATTATGATTATAAATAACTCAGACACCATTTCCATTGGCAGAAACTTGCCTATTAAGCCTATATATACACTCAGGCTGCTGAAAGGAATAGGTCTTCCAGCACGGAGCAGATGACTCCTGCAACAGAACAGATTCCTGATCTCGTCTCCCACAGCAATCCCCTCTCTCTCACCTCAGACCAAAGCCGAGGCTGGTTTATAAAGGGTAACAGAGCCCACCACCACAGCGAAGTGTGTGTGTGTGTGTGTGTCGGGGGTGGGGGGTGGGTTCTGCAGGAACACACTGTCCTTCCATTATCACCTTGTTGAGACCAGGGCCTGAATAACTGGCAGCAGGGATCTGGCCAGTGATGAAGGGCTGGGAGGGCTGCTTTTGGCTCCCCTGTGGCTTGACCCAACTCACCCCTGGGCTTCTGTACTGGATGGCTGTTTTTAAGAACACCAGGCTTTTGGCTCTGACATTCTGAGGGCAGCTCCCAGAGACCCTGTTCTTCTCTCAGCTGGATCTTTGAGTCCTCAAGGAAGAAACTGCAAAGCATAGCAACATGCAAGCCTCCACAGTGAAGACTGAGAAAAGATCTTAGGGGCAAAGCTTTGCAAAGGACTGTCAGAGGCCAATCCAACATCTCAGGGTCAAAGATGTCCCACAGCAGGAGAAAACAGAGAGAGAGAAACTCGTATGGCCAACCATAAGCCCCTGGGAAAGGAGGAGCAGTTAAAATGAGAAATAATAACTAGCTAATTTCTCTTCTCCCTGCTCATCTAAGTTGGCGTCCCAACTTCCAGAGGGAATGAACACTGAAGGCAGATTAAATGCATCCACTCGTCTATCAGTGGAGGCTTGCATGCTGCTATGACGCTGAACAGTTCTCAGTGGAGCTTCTGGACTCAGATGGACTAGGAAGAAAGGCCTGGTGTTCTACTTCTGAAAACCAGCCAATAAAAACCCTATGAATAACAACGGTCCGATCCCATTGTGCCTAGAGTCACTCTAAGGCAGCTAATAACAAAATTATTATAGATAATTTTATAATTATATGAAATTATCGGCAAGACAGCAAGAGGATCACACCAATGAACCTACTAATAGATCAGGGAGTTTGCCAAGAAAGGTGCTGGGAGGAAGAATCTCAGAAGTGAAGGTCAATTCCTGTCAGATAAGTTCTGGAGCCCATCGGTCCACAAGCTACCTTCACTCAACCTACCCCTACAATAGTCAGTCTCAAGACAGGTGGGCTGCTGTCATCACAGGACACTTTAAAGCTAACTCAGACCTTCATCGCCATGGATTACTTCTTCCTGAGACTTTTAAACATATTCCTCTCCATCTTTCTCTTATTGTCTTTCCTTTGATTATACTGTCACAAAGAGTGACTGTACCTGGCTCTATATGGCCATGTGTGTGGGAACCTCTGCATCACACTGTTATTGCAGTGTTCTGGTGCTGCTTGTTATGAATTGAATTGTGTCCTCCCAAAATATATATTGAAGTCCCGGCCCCTATATCTGTGGGTGTGATTGTGTTTGGAAATATGGGTTTATTTATGTTAATAAGGTCATACCAGAGTAGGGTGGGTCCTAAACTGAATCATTTCTGAGTTACAAAAAGAGCAGAATAGACAGAGACACATATGGGAAAGACAGACACCAAGGAATGCCAAGGTCTCCAGCAGACATCAGAAATTAGGAGACAGGCTCATAGAGGAGTCAATATGGCTGAAATGCTGATTTGGGCTCCAGAAAACCAAAACCTAACGTCTTGCCGTCAAGTTGATTCCTACTCATAGTGACCTGGTGACCCGACAGGACAGAGTAGAGCTGCCCCACAGGGTTTCCAAGGAGCAGCTGGTGGGTTTGAACTGCCGACCTTCTGGTTAGCAGCTAAGATCTTAACCACTGCACCACCAGGGATCCTCAGGCTCCAGATCTGTGAAAAAATAAATGTCTGTTCTTCACAGTCGCCTACTTATGGTATTTTTGTTATAACAGTACTGGTGGAAGCCCTGGTGGTGCAACAGTTAAGTGCTCGGCTGCTAACCAAAAAGTTGGCAGTTTGAATCCACTCAGTGTCTCTGTAGGAGAAAGAGTCAGTGATCTGCCAGTGATCTGCTTCCATAAAAATTACAGCCTAGAAAACCCTATGGGGCGGTTCTTCTCTGTCGCATGGGGTCGCCATGAGTCGGAACTGACTTATGGTACCTGACAACAACAACAACAGCACTAGGTAATGAAGACACTGCTACTTAGAGGAGCAGGAGCAGGAGCAGGCTGAGTTAGTTTAGGTTTGTTTTTTTTTAACCTAAAAACCATTCATGTTCACTAGATTGGGGAGAAAAAGTACAGCATGAAGGGCATAGGACAAAGGACTCCTAACCTCTGACATCACTGCAACCCATATGCAACCCCTTCCTTGGTCTGAGTCATGCCACCCTGTTGACAGCTGTAGTCAGGTCAAGGGGGGCACAATCTCCTGATGCCCCATCAGTGCTGAGGCTAAGGCTGTCTGCATAGCTGGTGTGAAACAGTGTGACTCCAGGCCACAGCCTGGCGGTAACCAACTCCTATTATTGGCTTACTTTTTGGTTATTTGGCCTCTTACCTTTCAGGGTTCTGATTAATCTGTATGTCACTGCTATAAAAACAAAATAAAACAAAACAAAACAAAAACCATTGCTGTTGAGTCAATTTCGACTCACAGCAACCCTACAGAACAGAGCAGAACTGCCCCATGGGGTTGTGGAGCGGCTGGTGGATTTGAACTGCCAACCTTTCGGTTAGCAGCTGAGCTCTTAACCACTGCACCACCAGGGCTCCTTGGTGGTGAGCAGACTCATGGCAGTTGAGGTAGCCACCAACAGACTCACAGGGCTAACAACCCATCCAGACCATCTGGCCCAATCCCACTTTTGGCTTGCAATCCACCCCATCTCAGGTTCTGCCTGATTGCCCCTGGTCCTCCCTGAGACTTTTGCGCCTGCCAGACCCTGGGCTTCCCACTGAGCGTAGGGTGGGCAGAACCATGCCCTGGGGGCCTGGAGACTAGGTGGACCCACAAACATTCACTGTTGCTACAGGCCTAGACCATCAGATC